TCACTGGACAGCGGTCAAGAACATCCTGAAATACCTGAAAAGGACTAAGGATATGTTTCTCATATATGGAGGTGACAAAGAGCTCATCGTAAATGGTTACGTTGATGCAAGCTTTGACACTGATCCGGACGATTCTAAATCGCAAACCGGATACGTGTTTACATTAAATGGTGGAGCTGTCAGTTGGTGCAGTTCTAAACAAAGCGTTGTGGCGGGATCTACATGTGAAGCGGAGTACATAGCTGCTGCGAAAGCAGCAAACGAAGGAGTCTGGATGAAGGAGTTCATATCCGATCTAGGAGTCATACCTAGTGCATCGGGTCCAATGAAAATCTTTTGTGACAATACTGGTGCAATTGCCTTGGCAAAGGAATCCAGATTTCACAAGAGAACCAAGCACATCAAGAGACGCTTCAATTCCATCCAGGATCTAGTCCATGTGGGAGACATAGAGATTTGCAAGATACATACGGATCTAAATGTAGCAGACCCGTTGACTAAGCCTCTTCCACGAGCAAAACATGATCAGCACCAAAGCTCCATGGGTGTTAGAATCATTACTGTGTAATCTAGATTATTGACTCTAGTGCAAGTGGGAGACTGAAGGAAATATGCCCTAGAGGCAATAATAATGTTATTATTTTATTTCCTTATATCATGATAAATGTTTATTATTCATGCTAGAATTGTATTATCCGGAAACATAATACTTGTGTGAATACATAGACAAACCAAACGTCACTAGTATGCCTCTACTTGACTAGCTCATTAATCAAAGATGGTTATGTTTCCTAACCATAGACATGTGTTGTCATTTGATTAACGGGATCACATTATTAGGAGAATGATGTGATCGACATGACCCATTCCATTAGCTCGATCGTTTAGTATGTTGCTATTGCTTTCTTCATGACTTATACATGTTCCTATGACTATGAGATTATGCAACTCCCGTTTGCCGGAGGAACACTTTGTGTGCTACCAAACGTCACAACGTAACTGGGTGATTATAAAGGAGCTCTACAGGTGTCTCCAAAGGTACATGTTGGATTGGCGTATTTCGAGATTAGGATTTGTCACTCCGATTGTCGGAGAGGTATCTCTGGGCCCTCTCGGTAATGCACATCACATAAGCCTTGCAAGCATTTCAACTAATGAGTTAGTTGCGAGATGATGTATTACGAAACGAGTAAAGAGACTTGCCGGTAACGAGATTGAACTAGGTATTGAGATACCGACGATCGAATCTCGGGCAAGTAAAATACCAATGACAAAGGGAACAACGTATGTTGTTATGCGGTCTGACCAATAAAGATCTTCGTAGAATATGTAGGAGCCAATATGAGCATCCAGGTTCCGCTATTGGTTATTGACCGGAGACGTGTCTCGGTCATGTCTACATTGTTCTCGAACCCGTAGGGTCCGCACGCTTAAGGTTTCGATGACAGTTATATTATGAGTTTATGAGTTTTGATGTACCGAAGTTAGTTCGGAGTCCCGAATGTGATCACGGACATAACGAGGAGTCTCGAAATGGTCGAGACATAAAGATTGATATATTAGACGGCTATATTCGGACACCGGAAGTGTTCCGGGTGATTTCGGAGAAAACCGGAAAGCCGGAGGGTTACCGAAACCCTACCGGGAGAAGTAATGGGCCATATGGGCCTTAGTGGAGAGAGAGAGGGGCAGCCAGGGTGGGCCGCGCGCCTCCTCCCCCCTGGTCCGAATTGGACTAGGAGAGGGGGGGCGGCGCCCCCCTTTCCTTCTCCCTCCCCACTTCCTTCCCCCTCCTAGTAGGAGTCATACTCCTACTAGGAGGAGGACTCCTCCTGGCGCGCCAATAGGGGCCGGCCGGCCTCCTCCCCTTGCTCCTTTATATACGGGGGCAGGGGCACCCCTAGACACACAAGTTGATCCACGTGATCATATTCTTAGCCGTGTGTTGTGCCCCCTTCCACCATAATCCTCGATAATATTGTAGCGGTGCTTAGGCGAAGCCCTGCGATGATAGTACATCAAGATCGTCACCACGCCGTCGTGCTGACGGAACTCTACCCCGACACTTTGCTGGATCGGAGTCCGGGAATCGTCATCGAGCTGAACGTGTGCTAAAACTCGGAGGTGCCGTAGTTTCGGTGCTTGATCGGTCGGGCCTGAAGACGTACGACTACATCAACCGCGTTGTGCTAACGCTTTCGCTGTCGGTCTACAAGGGTACGTAGATCACACTCTCCCCTCTCGTTGCTATGCATCACCATGATCTTGCGTGTGCGTAGGAAAATTTTAAAATTACTACGTTCCCCAACAATTGCACCTAGGATTGGTCCTACACAATGCGAGTAACAACTCTACTCATGCTTATATGGGATTATACTAATATGATGTTACATACATTAGAGAAGTAGAACGATGCCTTTAGCGAGTTGGATGTCAATCCATCAAGTTCCATGTGGAAGACCAGAGCGAGTTCCTAGATCGGACCTACCAATGTCCTAGTGTAAGTATTTGGAAGATGTTGAGTGTGTCCTTCGTCTTGGTTGGATGCCTTTATATAGGGTCGGTGGCCATCAACCCTCATCTTAGTGTTCTTGCGTTGCACGCCATGGACTCCTCCATGTTTGATGATTGTATGAATTCTTGTGAGGAAACTGGAGATAGTAGAGGTTGGTCTCTGAAGCATGCCCCTAGTACCACACATACACAGGCAAATGTGACCCAAATTTGTTATACGCGGCATGGGAATACAATGAAAACACTTCCCTCAACAAGCCCCATTAGTATTCATAATGAGGTCACCACGCGTGTTGCCCAAATCATTTGCCCTTTAAAGAAGTCGCCAGATGACTTGTTTGCCAATATTTTGACTCGTGGATTCCTAACTTTTTTGTGCTTATCTTCGCGCCTGAGTATTTTTGCACGTATTTTTACCCGTGTTTAAACCGGAGAATCTTAGATTTTCTAAGATAATCACTTTGGTATGATCATTATTGACTAATAAAAGTGAAAGATCTCAAATCACTTGGTTTATTGTTCCCTCTAGGAATGGAACATTTTAGGTGATAAATCAAGCAATACATAGAAGGCAATGGGCGTGGCAATAAGTCCAATCAATAGAAAGTGCACAAGAGGTTCCCGGGAAAAATACGGCGGCTGGTATGAGATAGTCCGCTCGTACTAGTGTTCGTACCACCTACCATCGCATCCATGTCGTCAACATTGACATATTCCGTGAAGGCACCCAAAGTCAATTCGCGAGGCCTCAGCCACAAACACTATTCCAAACACCAGGACCATATAAGGAGAAGGAAATATTTTCGGAGAGGAGAGTAGCTCATCTATTCATCCAAGAAGTCCCAAGTAAATGGCCACCATTCCAATCTACATCCGCCATCTCCATCTCTATAGCCTTCATCCCCATAGCCATATCCATAGGCAAATACTACAAGGTAGATGATATCAATGAAGTCATTTATAATCGTGTGATCAGTTGTTCCAAAATATTTGTCAGCTGTGATAAATTGGTACTATATCATAGAGCATTGTTTTATAACATTTCTCTGTTGTGATATTGTATCAAGGAGTATATGAAGCAATGTATATGATTATGCAACAGAACACGGTTAATAATCTCTAGGTTGGGTGAAGGGTGATTGAAGGAGAAAGGAGCTTTATTATTGAAAGATTGGTGGCGCATGCTTCTATCTCTATTTAAACCAAGTAGTTCACACCTTCGTGCAACATGTCTAACGCCATTTGTAATCTTTTTGGCACTATTTGTAACCAAGGTTGACATATAAACATATTAAGTCCCATCGTCGCTTTCGGAAGCCTCACATTACAACATTTAATGGCAACCACCATAGTTAAACATACCAAAAAAGTACAACTCCTACCTTCCACAATACCCCCCCCCCCCTCTTGCTTCCCAAAAAAT